TGGCCGCGTGCCGGGAAAGGGTCCCCGTGTGGCTGTTGGTCAGCCTGTAACGCGGGCGCCCCACAAAAAAAAGATGCCATTTGCAATTAAAGCAAACAAGCAACGCAGTCGACGCTGCAGCCGCCGTTTTCTTTTTATTTTTGCTGGCTACTTTTTGGCAATTGCATTTTTTAACAGGCGACGGACGCGCACCCTGCAAATGGCCAAGTACAGCCTCGACCTCCCCCCAAAACACTCAGACGCCCGGTCGGTCGCAGCCCCTGCCACAAGTCGTTCGCCCTGGTCACATGTGTGAATTATAATTTCGCATTCGGCGTCGCGCTCAAAAGCATGCAACGAAACCAGCAAAAATGTGCTAAAAAAAAAAACTGAACGACAATAAGATACCCTGTATACTGTTTCAGACGGTTGTTAAGCTCTTAAGAATATTTTGAGCACAGCGAAAAGTATAATTTATCATTTATTTGAATAAGTAGATGACTTTTGTATATTCACATAATATTTAACTTAACTTAAACAAACGTCTTCTGCATATCAGAAAGTTTATACACCAATTTTGTGGTATATTTATTATTTGTCTGAACCCAAGCTACCCTCTTAGACTCACAAAACACAGGGTATACAAAACAAGAAATACAAAACACAAACACACACACATACAGACGCACACGCACACGCACACGTACACGCACACAGATAGAAGTCCCAGGCCTATAATAAGAAGAAAGCAAAAGCCGCCGTTTCCATCGCATTCGCCGCCATCGCATTTCCATTTCGCGCCGGGGCTTTTGCTTATCATTGGGGCTGTCAAGTGCCCAGCATCCTACCCCGTTCCCACTCTCCCTCTCCCTCTCTCTGTTTCTCTCTCTCTCTCTCTGGGAAGCAACGCAGCTCGCGCTTTTTGCAATAATTCAATTCATTTTCTATTTTTTGACTTATTTTCATCTGACGGCGTCGCAAAAAGCAAAAAAAGTAAAAGTTGTTTCACATTCATCGTTCGGCGGCTTCAAGTGCTCGCTTGATACGATACGAGTCGAGGGGTGCCGGCTCATGTGTGCTCCTGATGCTTCTGTCCGGCCCTGTCCAGAGTGCGGTCCGAGTTGCGTGGCTATAAATTTGGCGCTTTACCTTTTGTGAGCATTTGTATTGCATACGTTGAGGCGCCTCACAACTAAGATATTAACGCAAAGAGACAGCTCCGATTGGGCAGACAATAACCCCAGTAATGACGAACTCTACAAGCACGCCTTGAAATGTGCACGATCTGATATGAAAATCAATGGAAATTGAAAAGAACAACAATTAGCTTGTTGATGTGGTACTATTCATATATATAAGTCTCTAAGAAATACTCTATAGGTTAAGTTAGTTAAGGGGGTTTTGTGGTGCTTGAAAAATATTAATTAAAACAGCTTTCTTCGAGAAGATAAATTGCTTTTATCTTAAGATTATAGCATTCATAGCCAAGGTAGTTCATTTTGTGTTGGACCCTTTTGTGTACATTCTTATTCGAGTGAAGAGAATGTGTGGGATTTCTAAAGCTGAAATCTGTTTCTATTCAGGTTAGCTCATGTGCAATGAGTGTATTCCAGGAATTTTGGCATTCCATACTGCTGCAGTCATCAGTTGTGGCAAGCCTCTGCTCGAGGACTCGCAACAACAGCCTGGGGTCGTTGCATGTGGCGAGTCGTTATGTTCACAGCTCGAGTGTGCAACATTCTGCTGGTCAGCTGGCATCTCTTCATCTATTTTGCTACAATTCGTTCGTAACTTAGCTTTTGAGGCGCCCTTCTGTGCTGTGCAGGCTCATATAAGTTTTGGCTGCCCAGAGCATATTAATGCATATACATATGTAGGCAAATGTTCATAAGTGAATGATATCTCTCAATATGTCTCAGCTGCAGCAGAGTCCGTGACACTGCCCTGCTGCAACACCCCCCACTCTCCCACTCTCCCACTTCCCCATCCCCGCACTGACTGTCATCATACTAAATCAGTTTTTAATTTCCGCTCATTTGCGAAACTGCTGCGACTGCTGCAACAATAACCAACGCCAGCGCCTCATTATATGCCCCGTTTTGTTCGGCAACTTTGATGCCGCGGGCGCAGCGCTAGCCACGCCCCCGCACATAGTGGCAGGCAGCACCTCCTGGGCTGTGGACTCACTCTACCATTCAATTGAGCGGGTGTAAATATGTTGAAAAGTTAATTCATTGCACATCAGTGCATCAGCCAACCCCCGCCCCAGCACCAGCCCCCGCCAACTACTACTGCCTGGCATATAGTGACTGTCAGCGTCGTCGGCGGTTGTCGTCTGTTTGCATAAAGGACATGCATACAGGACATTTACGTTGGCTGCTTTTCATTTTTTCCCTCCCTTTTTTTGTATTTGTAGCTTTTCACCTTTTTTTTCCTTTTTTTGCGCTCGTTCAATGTGTGTGTCATAAATTTAGTTCGATTTGCTGTTCAACGGCATTAACTTGCTCGTCCTCACCGGGTGGCTACAACTATCGAGAGTCCTGTTTGCGCACTGGCAACCGCTCCAGCTCCTGGTGTTTTAATGAATTTTGCTGCCCTGGCCAGAGCCCAGCACCTGCTTAAGTAGTTGCGGGTGCTTGTGCTCTCCCATTGCCGTTGTCGTCGCCAATCAATGCCAATTTTCACACTCGCTTCCCAAATCCAAGACGAGTCTATTAGTTTTTTGCAATGTCCGAGTTGCTTTCAATTCATATTAGCGTAGTTTTTGGACCAAGGTTGCAGAAAGAAGTGCAAAAAAAAAAGTCCTCAAATTTGGAAGGTCTTATTACCAACTTTTGATCCAAGGTCAGTTAATGCATTATGCATTATAAAAGTTCATATGAACATCAAGTTTCCTATTGTTAAAGTCTAAAGATACCCAATCCTTACATTAAGTAGACTCTTTTCGACTAATGCAACCGGCTACAGAGTATTACGCAGTCGGTTTTAGCTACGTGCAACGTTTTTACGTCTTTTAATGTAGTTTAAGCACGCGGCAATGAAATATATCAAGCGCTTAATTATTGTCCTGGCATATGGCAAATGTCGTTGCATACTTATTGCAGTCAGTTTTGTAATAGATGGACACAGGATACGTTTTTAGAGTGTGTCATTAGATGATAAAGGACAGCATTTATATGCCGTGATTTTCAGAGTAGAAAAACATACGTACAAAAAAGAGAATTAAATGAAATCAAAAAGAGAAAAATCATCTTTCGACGGTCGATTGAAAGCAGTTTTTTGTTATCTTTTATTCGAAATGTGATACTAAAATTCAAGCTGAAAACCCGCTTTGGAATGTAAAACAATAAATTGTCTTCTATAAAGTCACATAGTTAACAGATTAGTTGTGGTTACGAAGCGTTTGCTGTAAAAAAAGTTGTAAAATTATAAAATAATTTGTTATCTTTTTATTTAACTTAATTAGTAAAAAGAATTACTGCGAGCTTAAATATTATTGAAATACAAAAGTATATTTTTGAAATAAGTACAAAATTTAAATTCTTTGTTCTTATGTGATTATCTGTAACCCTTATGCTTAGTCGCATTGCAAACGAAACATGTATTTAGATTGGTTTCCATTGGTTCGGCGAGTATCTAACGCCTCTATAAAAATTCATTTAATTATCACTGTGGCCAACAAATTTCTATTTGCATTTATTCCTTGCACATTTAACACTTTTTCTGTACTGTCACGTTCGCTGCTTATTTTTATTGCTTTTTGCCGTGCATTTTTCTATTTTTTTCTGCTTTTTATTTTGTTTTTGGGTTGTTATTTTGCACTACAATTATGTTAATTTCCTATGCAAATAAAATTTAATTGAAGCTCTGGCCAGGGCACGTCGCGGCCCACGACGCCGGAGACGCCAGCAACCCGCACTTAGGCAACTGCGACGCCCTGGCATTAATGTGGGGCCTCTTCCCTGCCACATTTCCTGGCCAAACGGGCGCGTTCTACCGCCGGTTCCTGCTGGACTTGCAGCACATTTAGAGAGCGTTGCCAGCATTAATTGCCAATAATTATATTGGTTTACCTTTCCACTTTTCTTCTTTTTTTTATAAATATTTTCTCTATGGCGTCCTGTTTACCCAGAGGCAAGTTCCTTCTTTAAATAACAAATGCTTCGATGGAAGATACGGACGGAATATTTAAGGGCTTTAGCTGCAGAATTTTTTATTTGAAAAGGATTCTTTAAAATATCACATTTAAATATTAAAATAAAGATAAAATATATTTATTATATCTTCTATTCTAACGCATTTCGCATTGTATAAAAACATTTTAAATTGATTCGGCAAAGTAAATTGAACGTCTTCGAGTTGATGAGCTTCAACAACGAAACTAAAATAAAGAGACGTTCCTTAATTAATTTAATTGTTAATTACCTAATGTCCTTCAAGTTATGTGCCTCCGTTTAAATGCCCACACACTCACACACAAATTGGCAATTGCAACCAATTAAATTTGCATAAATTGCGCTTGAGCCCCTGCCAGCAGGAAACACAATAAGTGTCAAACAATAAAAGTGCGTTGACAATTACAACAAAAATTAAATTAACTTATTAACTCATATAGCCCCCATGTGAAATATTTAAACATGTAAATGAACACTCGGCAGAGCTGACAAAATGTAATATAATACGAGTAAATGCCGCGGCTGTCGCTTAAATAATAATCCAATCAGCAAACATTTGGACCCCTGCGGCACAATGGCCACCTCCCGTATGGGGGCTGGGCGTGGTCAAACAATTGACAGTGCTGTGGATTATGTAATTACCAAATGCGCAAATATAATTTAATAAATGCAACCACGGCGCTCAATTCATTGGCTGTGCCGTGATTTATGGTGCACGCGGCGTATGTGTAATATTCTGTCGGTTCTCACGCAGTTGCTCTTGTTATGCAATAGTTTTGCCCAGCTTTAAGTTTTAAGTGCTTTAAGCTCATAACTAATTATCAACTTTATCCACTTTGGTTGCAGGACTACGACAAGGAGATCAGCTGCCACAAGATACATTCGCCCAGCAGCAGCAGCAGCCACGCCCACCACCCCTTGCATCACCAGCACCACCAGCAGCAACATCATCAGCAGCAGCAGCAGCACATAGCGCACCACCACCACAACCACAACAACAACAACGAAGATGACATGGAGCCGACGCTGCTCTCGCCCGCACACTCCACCCACTCAGCCTACGACTCCAAGGAGCATGTCAAGGAGCTGGAGTTCTATAAGAATCTCGCGGCCAAGGCTGCCTCGCTGGCCAACCACCAGCGCGATACGAACTCTGCCTCGCCCCTGCCCATGCAAATCGATGCGGATGAGGACGAAGCGGAGGATCAGACTGCCGAGGCGTTGCGTCTGCGATGCGAGGAGCAAGCCCAGGCCAAGGCATTTGCGGCACATCTCAATGGAACTAGTGAGTACATATCGAAAACCAAACTTTAAATGACAAGCAACAGAGATGGAAACTATTATATACAGCTGCATAAATATGCTAAACAACCAGGGTACTTGTTAACAATAAAATAATAAGCAGGGAGACTAAAATATAAAGTCCTTATAAGTTTAGTTACATATGTATGTATATAACATGAGTGTATTTGAATTCTTCAGCTTGTTTTATTGTTTGTAAACTGGCCGAGAGTGTTCGACTGAGAGACACCCTGTCATCAGCGGCGAGACGAATTAAATATCTCCATATCATATTGGATGTGATTGGTAGTGCAACATATTGATGAAACACACATTACACATCATTAACACATTACATATGTTAATAAATAGAGATTGTTATCGATTCTTAACGTTTTTGTGATAGTTTCCATCCCTGAATAACACATTCACACACTTGCAGTCCTTCGATAGAGTTAACTGGCAATTAGTGCTGGCAGCTTTTAGGGCTGCTTCACTACATTCAAGAGCTCCGTTTTGACATTTCTGCTAATTTTGCAACTGCTTCACCAAAAACTAATGAAAACATTTTCCATGTACCTTTTTGTTTATCTCCCACTCGAACCAACAGTGCAAGACATGATAAATTTGCAAAAATTACAAAATTTGGCCACACTACAACAACAACAACATCAGCAACAGCAACAGCAACAGCAGCAGCATCAGCAGCAGCAACAACATCCGCATTCACATCATTCCCATCATCATCCCGCCACGGCTGCCGCACTGGCAAGTCTTCAGGGCTTAGCCGCCTCCGTGTTCAACTCACCATTGAATCTGAGCGTTGGCGCAGAGGCTGTTACAGCAACAACAACAGCAGCAGCAGCAGCAGCAGCAGGTGGAGTCACATCCACGTCCGCAGCAGCAGCTGCTGCTGCAGCGAAAGCGAGTACCTCGCCCAGCAACAACAACAACAACAACAACAACAGCAGCAGCTGCCACAACGGGAACAAGCACAAGACGTCAAAGGGCAACAACAACAACAGCAGCAACAGCAGCGCAGCCGGCAACTCCTCCAGCCAGCAGCCGCAGGATAATCCCAGCAGCAGCAGCTCACCGCATGCCCATGCCCATTCCCTCAACGCGACGACGCTGGCCAATGTGTTGGCTGCAGCGACCGCATCGCCACCGCCAGCGCTCCAAGCGCCGCCGGCGAGCGCGCAGATGCCGCAACTGATACTCGCCTCCGGGCAGCTGGTGCAGGGTGTCCAGGGTGCTCAGCTACTCATACCTACAGCTCAAGGTGGGTACACACACACACACACATGCCCAGGATGTGTGTGCTGGGGATTAGTTTTAGTTGTGTTGGGTATCAATAACATAGTTGACTTCACTTGACTTTGGCTTATATCGCTGCCAAAGTCGGTGGCTGGCCGCGTCTATTAAAGCCACAGCTAAAGCGATTTGGCAATTTTCAATTTTCTTGATTTAGCAACCCATTTGGGCAGTTCCGACTTGAGTTTCAAGTTAGGATTAACGTTTATTTGAAAGTTATAGATTAAAATTAAAAGTTTTCTGCTTTCTTTGGGTCGCAGAAATGGCATATTGACGGATTGTATTCGGGAAGATTTCTTAAATAGCTTATATTCAAAGTTTCGTGCAAGGCAATTTTAAAGATGGTCATTTTAAAGATGCAAATCAAGTTTGAATCTAATCGATTGAAAATTGTGCTATTTCCATGGAATATTATACCACATAGTTCGACAGACAACCGCTAGAACACAGTTATTCAGATTCAATTCAATAATGAATCTGCATAATTTATTTTATCTTATACTTTAAATTATTTAAAAGATTTACCTAGAGAAGCACAAATTTGATTGGGCTCTGCCGAAGTCTAATTCATATTAAGGTTTTAATATTAGTACAGAAGTCTTAAATTACTTATGTCATTATATGCTATAAATTTATGATTACATATTTATATGTATATAATTATTGTAAATAATAATTGTAAATTGTGTATCATATATATCATACAGTATATATATATATATATATATATATATATATATATATATATATATAATATGTACATACTTTTATATACATTTAATTTATTATTATTATTTCAGTAATTTAACATTTATTTATTATTATAGACATCTACGATTATTTATTTAATTATTTTTATAAATATCGAATATTATAACAGGCATCTAACTCACAAATTTTTTTAAACTCTTCTGCACTCTACTCTCCCTTCGTAGGCATTGCTGTGCAGACCATTCTTACCATTCCGGTGAGCCCACAGATTCCCACCAGCGAACAGTTTCTACCCAACGCATTCGGAGCTTTTGCCAGCTATCAGCAGCAACAGCAGCAGCAGCAGCAACAACAACAACAACACCAACAGCAGCAACAGCAACGCGAACAACAACGCGAACTTTTGGCTCCACCGCTGGCTGCGTTACAGCATGGGCCAGCCTTGCCGCAATTGGCGCAGACACCGACGAATTTACTGAAGCCTAATCTCTTTTCCACGGGCGTACAGCAGTTGCTGACAGCGCTTCATCCGGAGCTATTTGCAGCCGCTGCCGCCAATCACCAGCAGCAGCAGCGCGAACGGGAACGCGAGCAGCAGCAGCAACAATTGGCGGCAGCAGCAGCCGCCGCAGCGGCGGCGAGTCACTTGCCACATGCCCACCTGGCCGCTGATATGCGTCGCTCTGCGGAGCGAACACCGCCTTCTGGCTCACCCACTGTGGGAAGTCCGGCGCTGCCGACGAAACAACCACCACCACCGCCACCGCCGGCTGCGGCGTTCTTGCTGCAACAGCAGCTGCACATCAAGCCGGAGACGCAAACGCACCTGCATCATCATCTGCACGGCACGACGACGGCAGCGTCAGCTGCACATCCACAGATTAGCTTGAGGCATCCGGATGAACTGACGGCTCCGCAGCTGGAACTGAAGCCGCTGGAGCTGAACAGCAGCAGCAGCGTCTCGCCGCCCGCGTTGCCGCCTTCGGCTGCCCTGGCGCGACATCATTTTGGGCACAATTTGCGCAGTGCGGCAGGCTCTTCGCCCAAGCACAGTCCAGGACGCGGCTCCTCCGGGGCAACAGGCATGAATCTCAGCCAGCACCATGACCGGCTCGAACGACGTTCGCACACGCCCACTGCGACGGCCACGAGAACAAGCTCTGGCCTAAGCACATCCAGCGCTGCGTCGGTGCATCATTTGCCGCATGAGCGAGGAACTGGCAACATGCTCAGTGGACGCCTGACGCCCACTGTGTCTACTCCAACCGCTATGGGCAGCAGCAGCAATGAAAGAGGCTACTCATCTCCACTGTTCCGCTCACACTCGCCGCCCGTGCACGCCTTGAACATGGGCAGCTCGCCGCGACTGGAGCGCGACTATCTGGGCAATGGACCAAGTTTGAGCGGCGGCTCCAGCGGAGCCTCAGCCGCGGCCACCAACTGCACAGCGACGGCAACGGCGTCCAGCTCCACGGGCAGCGTACTTAGCAGCATCAATAGGTAAACTTTTGGCAGGAATTATACTTTGAATGGATTATCTAAACGCTTGCCTTCTTCTGCTCCCCTAGACTAAACGCCTCCAACGGCGAGCTAACCATCACCAAATCTTTGGGCCCGCCGACGGCTACAGCCACGCGTGCCTTATCCGCCTCACCGCGTGACGATTCACCCTTGCCAGGGCCATCCACATCAGGGGTTTCACTAATGCAGCCTTTGAAGCTGAGCCCCTCATCGCGCAGCGAGCCGCCACATCTGTCGCCCAATGGGAACGATAATGACAACGACCTGCTTATGGATTCACCGAGTGAGTAAAGATCGACTCTTTTTCCATATTTTCCTCTAATATTAGTTAGTCTGTAACTGCCTGATCCTTCGATCAATTTATTTTGTTAATTTTTGTGCAGTGAAGTTTCTAGTCCCTTAAAACCATCCACATATTTCTTGAAATTCTTTAAATCGTTTTCAAGTCTAATTTCGGGTTCAGTAAATAAATGAAGTGTAAAAATAAAATTATTTCATTCCAGTCCATATTTTAATTAAAAAACCAGAACTGAATTAAGGTTAAGAGTTAAGTTAAAGGTCTCTAATGTAAATCTGGAGAGCATTTAGTTGCCTTCTATCTACAATTTATTAGTTTTCTAATAATCTCCGTACTCATTCATGCCAGTTAATCGCAGCAACTTAGTGAAACGCCTTTTGACAGGCTGTTGCTTGAGATTTGTTTCTTATTTCCCCGGACTTGTTACCGACGCGTGACAGGTTCAACACTGCTGCTAATTTGGCTAACACTTTCGGCTGACATCTTTCAACTTTTGGCAGCGCGTTGCAAAATCTTTGGCTAGAGTTTTGTGCGGCGCTCGTCAAGCAGCTCGCGGCTGCATCAATTATGGACCATGTTCTGGGAAGTCGTGTAAATGCACAGCGAAACTTTTGCACACATGCGACGCGGGCCAGGCCAGAACTAGCTGCTCGAAAAGGCCTGTTGCTGCACCCTCCCTCCCCCACTGTAAACTTGACGCGCATTTTCTTTTAGAAATTACATAAAATCCTGTTAACTTGTTAGGGCTTGTTTTCATTTAAAACGCAGTCGAAGTTTTATTTATGTTGCTGTACTCGAATCGCTTTAATTAATGTTGAAAAAGTTGCCGAAAATGACTTACTGCTTATAAGTGTGTGTGCATGTGTTTGTATGTGTGCGTTTGTGTGTATTTATATCACTCATACGCCACGCTGCACACGAAGTTTTGGGGCTAGCTCTTAAAATATCAAATCATCAGGGAACTGCATCAATTCAACATTATCAACAAGCTGAAAAAACAGCAACTCCAATTGAGCTTTTCACCTGGCACTCGAATTTCATGTACCCTAATCCCAGCTCTGTGCTCATTGAGCATTACATGATGAGTGTGTGTATCTATCTGTGTGTTTGTGTGCGTGTGTGTTTCTGAGTCTTGAATATGCTTACTAATTGTGTAAGCAAATATTTACATTTTCTGTTCGGTTCTTTTTTTTATATTTTGGCTGAATAACAAATCCTTTTTCGAACCTTTTTAAAATAATTTTGCGAGATTTATTTTATTCAATTCATTTTATTTTCATTTAAAATATATTGAAATGGTAAATGCGAACAAGGTTTATCGAAGTTTTTGAGAATTTGGATTTAATTTATGTAAATGTACCAATTTTTCAAGTTAAATAAACTAAACTTTCTTAAACGTCAGCACTCTATGATATTTTGAGCCCGTGTCAATTAATGTTCTGCTCGCTAGCAAAAACAAATGTATGCATGCGTGCATGGATGTATACATGTATACATTGTGGTAGCAGCTCGCTAAGACCTTAATTGAAACTTTGGATGCATTAAAAATGCAATCAGCACAACAAGAAGGCAAAGCCAAGCCCCAGGCAGAGGCATCAGCTAAACCATCAGCTAACAGGTTTAGTACCACGTAGCGTACGTAGTCTCGATTGCATTGGGGGATCGTTTGCTTCTGCTTCTGCTTCTTTGGCCACTTGCTACTTCGTACTTGATGGCAGCTCTCTAGTGTCGCATCGCATACAAATTGCAGACAATATGCAGCTTAATTACTACTAATTGATGCATACAAAAACTTAAGATGTTTTCGTATTTAATGACATATTTCACTTCTCGAAGCAAAACAAACAACAAAGACGGCGACGACAGCAGCCCAAGTTATGGCTTGGCAAGGATTCAGACAAGGATAAGACTGGGTCTGGGTGTGGGTGTGGGTGTGGGGAGGCGCATCTTAATTACCGCTAAAGCTGGGCTGCAGTTACAGTCAAGTGAATGGCTTTGGTTTGGCTTGCTGCCACGCCGCCTGCTGATGGTGTCCTCTGTCTTCTGTCCTCGTCCTCGTGCTCGCCTCCTTGTTGTCGTCTCCTTGTTGTCGTCTCCTTGTTGTCGCTTGCATATCATTAATAAATAAATCAAATTTCTGTGCGTGTAGTTTGGCGCAGCAACAACAGCTGCTAACAAATTAAGCATATAAAGGCAATAAGTTTTGCCTGCCTTGGCTAATAGACAAGCATAACAAGAGCTAAGTGACAGGCCAATAAAAACAACAACATCCGCATCCAAGTTCCTTCCCGGGCTATATGGAAAATGAGTTTTATCAATTTACCTGCGACACTCTAATAATATTTCGCAATTACCGCAATTAACTGTAATTAAGAGCCGCGACTCGGAGGCAATTTATGGTGTCATTTCGCATTGGCAGTTATTTACCGTGAACCGGGCTCGTTAAGAGACTGTCAGTGAGGCAGACGACGAGTTAAACTGTTTGACAGTCGGTTTGACTAACTGGCCGCCATTTTAGCTTATCACTTAGCGTTAGCAAAGTAAGGCTCGCTTATGCCCTTTTGACTTTAACCCTTCAACCGAACGCTACTTTGCAGATGAACCCACCATCAACCAGGCCACCACCAATGTGGTCGATGGCATTGACCTGGATGAGATCAAGGAGTTCGCCAAGGCATTCAAGCTGAGGCGCCTCTCGCTGGGCCTCACCCAGACCCAGGTTGGACAGGCTCTTTCGGTAACCGAGGGACCCGCGTACAGCCAGAGTGCCATTTGCAGGTGAGCTATGAATAGAGGACACGTTACATACGTATCTACGAACAAATTATCTAAATTGATTAAATGAGATATGTACATTAAATATTAGATATTAAATAGTTTACAATCGTTTTAGATTAAGTTACAAAAGAATTTTAATTCTGTTTTATAGTATTCAAGCACGTTCGAGCGTTAGCTGGTATCAATCGAATTTTTTATTACACTCAGAGCAAAATCTGTTAAATACAACTTAACATAAAATTATTATGTGAGCCTTAAGTATTAAGTATTTAATAAATATTCAAATTCCTCTGAATTTATTCCTTTATTTACATAAAAACAAAAATAATTATGTGATATACAAACTGTAAAGCCTTACTATAGTCTTTCTTTATATAAAATTGAATTTTTATTATTTACCAAATTTAAAATTCAAATTTACTCAAAATTAATCCAACCTGAGGACAAAAAGAGCTTAGAAAATCCATAGAGTAAATCTATTTTTATAATTTATCAAAAAAAAAAACGGAAATTTGCATTGTATTGAAACAAATTGAGAACGCTTTAGTTTTAATTAGTTTTATAATATTTCTGGAACCATTTTTAGAGTGCCAGGACATTTTGAACAAGCTATTAAAAGTAAATATATATACACAAATATATATATACATATATTGTATGTATTAATATTAATATATCGAACATAATGCTTAATTAGTTAATTATTTAAACAAGTGACAACAAAAATAATGCGAAATTTATTTTATTTATTTTATTTGTTTATTTTGATATCGCCAAATCGCCAACCGTCTCTCCTTCTTCACACTACCGTTTCACAACTCGCTGTCAACCGACTGTCAAAACCTCACGTCAACCGTTAACCGTTAACCGTCAAACGCCAAATGTCAAATGTCAAATGTCGAATGGCAAATACCAATATGCAAGCAGTGCACTCGCTGCGCAGATGTATGCCGCTCAACTGTCGACGCAACAACAGAACATGTATGTGTGTGTGTGTGTGTGAGTGCGTGTGTGTATCTGTGTGTGTGTGTGAAAGAAACTTAACTAAAGTGCAAGAGCTCATTTTGTTTACATTTTCTTTTTGTATTTATATGTTATAAGTATGCGCTTTTCCAACACCATCTAATCAAATTGGCCAGGGCATTGCCAATGAGCAATTTTAGCAGCTTTCAACAACAAATTTTGTATGTTTTTTGTAAAGCCAAAAGAAAGACAAAGTATGCTACTTGACAATGTCCTGGCACTTTAGTTACGTTTCTTTTACGTTAATCCAATTAGCGCATACAGACATTCGGTGTGTTACTAAGATACTCTATCTATATACCATGTAGGTTCGAGAAACTCGACATCACACCAAAGAGTGCACAGAAAATCAAGCCCGTCTTGGAGCGCTGGATGAAGGAGGCCGAAGAGAGGTGAGAGTATGGAGGCAGTTCCACGCAACGTCTAACCATACAATGGGCAACCCAACTAAACTATATCTCTATATACTCCCACATACAGTCACTGGAATCGCTACAAGTCCGGCCAGAACCATCTGACAGACTACATTGGCGTGGAGCCCTCGAAGAAGCGCAAGCGTCGCACCTCGTTCACACCTCAGGCACTGGAGCTGTTGAACGCGCACTTTGAGCGCAATACGCATCCATCGGGTGAGTGGTAACTTTCAGTTGACCAAAATGAAAATCAAACACTGGGACTTGTCTTTAATGCATATTCTATTTTCATTATGGACTAGGCACCGAAATAACTGGCCTGGCCCATCAGCTGGGCTACGAGCGCGAAGTGATTCGCATCTGGTTCTGCAACAAGCGGCAGGCCTTGAAGAACACTGTGCGCATGATGTCCAAGGGCATGGTCTAGTAGGGCGTGTACATATAGAGGCCTGCTATATACTGTATATAGTTTGTGTGTATTTTGTGATAGTTTTAAACACTTAGCGTTTAGTTTTTAGGCCATGTAAAGTAAAAGCTGTGTCATAGCATTTACAATAAATGTCAGCATATGTCAACCGCCCCCTTCCCCACACTTCGCCACAGTCAACAAAATTAAATACAACCATGTACTATTTATGACTAACATTATGGACTAACATTTATCATATCCCAAATAGCCTAAAAGTAGGCTTACGTCTAAAGTCTACAGGCGCAAACCTTTGCGGATTTTAGGGCCTATTTTATGATATTGATGTGCCATTCCAAAAATTAAAATACAAAAAAAAACAAAAAAAACAAAAATATATATATATATATAAATGGGATAGTATATGTATAACAAATTCACAACTAGAGATTTACATTTATCAATTTGTATGGCTAAGCGCAAAACCAAAATGAAAAAAAAGAAAGAAAAAGAAGAAGCATAATGACACAAGTAAACAAATTCTTTATAAAACGTAAGCTATTTGATTTAAAAAATAATTGCATTTAATGCGTTGGCTATATTGATATAACGTGTATACTAAAGTGTATTTTATTTAAACAATTTATAAGCAAATTATAAACTCTAGCAATTAACGATTCTCATTTGGCCATCAAAACCCTCTAGCCCATAAACAAACAACCCACTAAAATGTATGGCAGCGCACTAAAAATCTAGAATAAGCAAATTTATGTAGCAATTGTCGAAGGCCCAGAACAAAAAACTTAATACAAGAACAAACGTATTTCGATTGCAAAATTCAAATGGTACACAAGAACAAACAAAATCATGAAATACTGAAAACGTAAAAAATATTTAAATAATTGTAATAAAAAACCAACATAATTAAAAATATGAATCTCCTTTGCGTTTTATTTATAAAACGATACAAGTAATCCTTGGGTCTATTAATATCCTTTTAGATCGATGCTATCTGTTCGTTAGCTAAAAGTAATCCACTTGGGAGCACTTTCTTTGAAAATCAAATTTTTTCTTTTCTTTTTTAATTCTTTTATTAGCTAATTTGTTGATACTACTCTTTAGCATCTTAACCTAGCTTTACAACAAGAGAATTAACATATTTCCCATTAATTATTAAGTTATATACACCGTTTAGTTTTATTATTCAACTTATATAGCTTATAGCTTAATAGCTTCGACTTAGCTTATATCTATCCAAGTACCCGTTTTTAGAGATCGATAGGGTGGATCCTGCGCAGTTTCCGTCGCTTTTTTCTGCAAAGCCTTCTTGCCAGTATAGAAGGGTGAGCAGAAAGACGGGTTATGTGGCAGGTGGACTGCTGTCGTATAGCAAACAAACAAATCTGTGGAGGTTTTAGGACTGAAAAATCAAAACCGAACCAATTTTTGCTTGAATTGTGTAAGTTTTCGAGGTCATTTCATATTAGTGCAAAATTCATCATTTCATATAAGCTACCAGAAGAAGTGACTATAACCTTGTCCTAGTCTATCGCTTGGACAAGTTCGTCACTAATCGATGCACAATTTTCAATCAAATTGATGAACCGATATGAACCGATATGAACCGATATGAACCTGTATGAACCGATATGAACTGATTCAGACGTCTCTTCTAAATCAATATATATATTTTTGTGAAAATTAACCCATGATATCAACTTTGAATAAATACAAATTTCAATTTGCAAACGTATACATTTAATAAAAAACATTGAAGTAAAAACTTAAAAAATAGTTGTTTAATACTAATTACATTGTTCCTAATTGCTCTTAGTGTAGTCTGGCAATATCACATCAATTAAGATTAGAATGGCAGAGTGGATCAATCGCTTAACATGGCTTCCAAGTTCTTTTGTTTTTGCCACACCCGATACTCTATCAGACCATAACTGTAAATAATACAGGGATTTTAAAAATGATATTCCATGGGTCTATTCAAAAAGTAAAACTCACCCCACGCAGCCCACAAGCATGGCACACATTAGGATTATCAGTTTGGTGGACGTGCACAACTGCGAGCTGATGACGTAGCCAATTACCGAACCGGTGCTCTCCCATAAACGAAAGTTGCTATACGCGGCAATCAGGTGGTTCGGAAACAGAATGCCATAAAACGCTGTAAAGAAACGTTAGCAGCGCTGAGCAACAGTCAACGAAAGCTGTGGCACTTACCATTGACAACAACCAGCCAGACGCCATCGCAGATACCCCAAATGGCCGCAAAGGCGCAGTAGGTCAGATAATCACCCTCGCGCGCCTCCCAGCTGTACATGTAGGCCAGCAGGCAGAGATTGAGCACCGCACAGATGGCTGCCAGTGTGACACGTCCGATGCGCTCCACCAAGGCGCCGGCAATGCCAGCGGCAATTGCATTGGCAATGCCAAAGCATATCATGGCAAATCCAATTTTGGAAATGCCCCAACCACAGGCAACAAACGACTATGGTGAATAAGAGGCAGGGAGTTTAGTTGGGTCGCGCACCCGGCTAAGCTCTAAAGCTCACTTACCCGTGTAAAGTCCACGGCCAGAAAGGCCTCTTCCAGGCCAATGAACATGGTAATGGGCAGCATGAGTATCTGGCGGCGTTTGCGCAGCAGATTGATTGTCACCGTCAACAGCCGCAGGCCAGAGATGCCATCGCCAGTGTCGCCGCGCTTAACGCCATAGCTAAAAGTTGTAGAAAAGGATATTTTATTCGTAAGTTACATAAATATATAAACCTTGCGGTGCATTATAAATCACAAAGTATTCCAATCTTACCGCTTCAACGAGCTAACGCCAAAGATCATCATGACCACAGCGCCGGCCATGCACGTGAGGAATATGGAGTTGAGCAGTTGAATTTGTTCGGGCGCAGGTGGCACCAAATTAGGATTCACCTCGGCACCAATGCCGGGGCAGAAGCGGGCGCCGCACAGCTCGCCCACGCGACTGATGCTCGCCTCCAGTGGCTCCAGTTCCAGGCTCTCGTTTGCCGACGTTGTCGCTGCACCAGCGCTGAGTGTAAGCACCGAGGAGGATATGAGATTGCCCCAGACCTGGGCCATTTGGTAGAAGATGAAGAACAGGCCAAAGAACTTAACCGTGTTTACATCCTTGCGAGAGTTGCTGCCGCGCACCTGCGTCAGCGCCTCGGAGACGGTGGACAGATATGTGCACTTGGAGCACCACAGCGGACCACCGCCAAAGCCTACCATCAGGGCGGCCGGGATGAGCGTTTCGAAGCGCGGATAGAACTGGGCGGCTATATACGGCATGTAGGCGAACAGGGCCAGGGCCATGGTCAGCCGGCAGCCAAACCAACTGTTGATTAGAGTAAGTGGTAAAGCTTTAGTGTGTTGCCCATTTGTTTTGGCCCAGTGGGGCAGCCATGCAGGAAGTGAACAGCCAAGCAGCTGACCCAAGGACAGCCATAAATCTAAATAAATCGAGTTAACTGATTAAAGTTGCCACGGCCAGCATTTTTGGGCCGTCGGCTGGCGCGCGTGCCTGGAATAAGTCAAACGGGTCGGAAAAATTGTCGAAACATGTGCGGGAGGGCAGCTACAAACGTTTTCTATAAATTAGCGATTTGTTTAAATGTCAGCCAAAACAAAATGGTCGCCAGCCAGCCAAGGGACGAAACGGCGAAAGGATGCAAAGACAGGCAGCAAGGGCAAAGAGAACGCTTGGAACTACGCCCCCAACTCCCAAGCTCCTTCCGTTGACATTTCGCAGTCAAACGCTTTAGGACGCAGCCAAAGTATTAACTGCTGACTGTTGACTGCTTTTCTGACTGTAGCATCTGCATAAAATTGCCATAAAAGCGCCACGCAATTGCCAAACATTTATGGCAATGCCGAAAATGTATGGCTAAGCACCACTCCAACCTTGACGTATGGAAGCAATTATTTGACAATGAGACTGTCTTTCAGATTTGAAAGAAAACTTTTGGGATTCTTTAAGTTTTAGCTCATAAATGTAAAATGGGGTCAAAAGCCGTTTAAATATATAATCTTGACATATAATATAAAACACCCTTCTATGCGATTCTCATCGATTCAACGAAAACAGCTTTGAAGCTCTTCCTCATTCGTGCTGTCTGCCGCTCTGTTACTTATTGCCATTTGCATTCTAAATATATTTTAATATAAATTTACTTTTAAGTATGATAATATATTTTATTTGAGAAGGATTTATTTGAATGCAAGTCTCCAGCAAGTTGGCCTTTTAGAGTAAATTTTTGAAGAAACTTGTCTTCTAGTGCATATCGTGGGTATATAAAATCAAAAGAAGCTTTATCATAATTAGTTACTTTAAATATATGCATAAAGCCCACAGTTACGAAAAACAATCGATGCAGAGACCAAAACATTCGAAAATTAGGACGTTTGGCAACACTATAATATGCACATAGGTATAGAAAATGGCATAAAATTCAATATTATATGTACACAAAGTGCTTGGTACTTATTTGTATCTTTAATATGTTTATCTATCGCTCATTATGCTATTTAATTATTGCCAACCTATTTTTAAACTACTCCTGGACTAGTCTAAAGCGCTCTGTACCCGTGATTTGTCTGTAATTGTTCACGCATGCTATGGAGTCAATTAGTGAGCGGAGTTTTTGCGATCCACTCATGCGTTAAGTGCGGCATAGTTACTCACCTAATCACCGTCATGGGTAAAAATATGTTGGACAATATGAGCGAGCCATAGATGACGGCAAGCGTTGTAGTGCCCAGCGCCTTGTCCGCATTCACTGAGCTCTGGAGATTCGATGTGCCGTGAAAGGCCGTGAAGTGTATCATGAATGCCAGACCAATGACAACAACATTTTTGGTTATAATAAACCGCTCTCGTGGCTCATACTGTCGCTGATTCGGCTTGCTGTCACCATTTGCGCTGCTGGCGGCAACAACGGCCGCGCCAGAGTTGCCATTTGCATGTGCGATGCTCGTGTCCAGTGCGAGCTCCTCGTTGTGTGCGTCCGATGCGTCCTTCGGGTAGACCATGTTTTGGAAATTTGTTTTCTATAATGTAGTTTACAGATAAAAACTCTTTTAATTATCTTTTACAATTATTATATATTTACTAATGAAGTCTGTATTATAAAAAGGTTTCTAAATAATGTTTAATTTTCTCCCATAACGTTTATATGCTCTTATTCATAACGACAAGCTGAGTCCATCTGTTCGTCTGAATGAACGCGTCTATCTCGAACTTAAGCGTCGTTTGCAAGGCATAGGCCAAGTTATTTTTAATGTTTGATAGCTTCCTCTATGGTGATAAGCGCTAAGTATCAAATTTTAATCATATTTTTAGGAATATCTGGTAGATCACAAGATATACCATATGCGCGGAATAAGACAACTGAGCTAGATGTAGATTATCTTTTAGTCGAATATGCTAGAAAGCCGTGAGTCATCTTAAAGCCCTCTAGAGTTTTATAACTAACAATTACAAAGGAAAATATCTTAAAATTGGGGATAAGTTTGGGGGGTCGATTAAAACATGTGATTTAAGTAGAGTCTACAAATTGAGGAATTCATCTTTGCTTACGATATGTTATTCAAAACGGAATCCCCTGTTTTAGCCAATTGATAGCTTTTTATTGCGCTCTAAGGATTATATTATCTCTTTGCTTTAATTCAAAAGGGCACAACTTGAAAGCTATACACAATTTCAATGAAGAGACCAACGACAACAGACACTTAACCGCAGAACACTTGTCGGCATCGGCTTGCCATACCCTTAACCCAGCTGCACGTAGGGTATATTAGCTGACGTATGTGCTAAGTAACTGTTGCTAAAGCGCTAGTCAAGTAGGTATACACAGGTTCTCAATAAATCTTGGTCTTGTGCATCTTTGCAAATTGTCAAGCGCCAGAATCGTGAGCTGTGATACAGGATACAGGATGGGCTCTGGGTGGGGGTATATCATAGTCAATCGCTTGTCTGCAGCATTGGCGCTTGTTTGGCAATAACTCTGCAGGCGTTACGCCCCCCTGAATGAAAGTGATATAAATTCTTACGTCCTTGCCAAGGCCCGGCAGGCAGCCCGGGCCTCGGCTTGACTTGGCTGCGTTTCAGTATCAAGGACGAAGTCTGCGACTGCCGCCTCTAATCCTTTAGGCAGCGCCACAGCACGTAGCTCAGGCTTCAGCGTAAATTTATGCCTGTCTACGCCCACACACTGAAGGGAAGCCCCACACACACCCACACACACCCACACACACCCACACACACACACATGCACACCGACACAGATATACAGAAAGAGAAGGAGTCTGTCGGAGTCTGTTCGGCCAAAACTGAAAATTCGACTCGACTTGTTTGATTTCGCGATGCCAACGACATTTTTGTGCAAATTTAGCACCTTTGATAAAGTTAAAGGTTTGTTTGCCAGCCGCTGAGTGGCCTCCCACGCGACCGTAAAGTGTGTTGATATTTTAGAAGGGCAATGATTTTGATTTAACGTACTCGCAGGACTCGTGCCCCGCCCCAGAGAACTTGATTGAATTGAGTATCCGGCGCTGGAGCGTGCGCTGACACCCCTGGGCGCCACAGCCGGCAGCCGGTTACTTACCGAAATGTTTTCCCAGATTTTTGGCAGCGTGATAAGCGAGTTAAATAATCAAGGGAAATTGATTCGGAATACCTTGGGGCGTGACAGCAACAAATATTAATTGCCGCAATTTAAAATCAGCCAAACTTGAATTAATCTCCAAATGAACCGAGAGCGTTGCCAACAATTTCTGAACTCTTGATAGGCAATTAACTTGGCCCAAACGCAGTCCGTAAATCACTTTTATGAGCCATTTCCCAGCACCCAACTCCCCGCATTAATCATACGCAGCGTTGATCGATTGCGTAGGGTCCTTGCATGCAACTAATTGTTACCATGAAGTGCACTTAGCAAACACGTCTATTCCGCTGAACAGAGTCCATGCTAATGTGCAACAAATGCATTATTGATTACACACATTCGTAATTCTAATTACATATACATTGAGTGCCCATGCTCTCATTTATGCAAGGCGTACTTGCGAAAGCTATCGGAACATGATTTATTTTTTGAATTTTGTATCTTAGCACGAATAAATCACTGCAAGGGTATAATTAATAATTCTCTGCATCTGTTATTCAAATGTGACCATAAAATTGGCACTTCAAATTTATTAATAAATGGTCGACAAAACGAGTGAATAAAAAATGAAGGGCCAAAAAACTATACTTTAATACAAATAACATATATATAAATTTGTTGAATTCGAAAGTGTGCCATTATTGTTTTGGGGCAAAGCCTTTATCAGCAGTCCAGCAGCGTTTAGCATAAATAAATAAAAATCCCAAAATCACTAAGCAACCAGCCATACACACCGCCACACACTCCAAAACACACACACACAGATATGCGCAGCCATTTGGAGCGACAAAATTGAAGCCACGAGACACCATTAAAAATAAAAGTTTTTATGGTTTGTTGACAGCTCACGCGACGCAGACATAAAATTTAACACATGCCTGCCAATTGACGGACATATTTGGCTGGCCTGCGCTGTGAGTGCGGGAGATGAACAAGCTGCTTGGGCCTCGTCCATCATCTAAATGGAAATCAAGCATAATCACCGAATGGTGAGGCAAATGTGACAACCATTCTATCTACTCTCTAGGTGGGGCATAAAACAATGAAACCTGGCGCTGGACTCGGGCGGACTTGGTCCTTTTGCTCAAAATTTGTGTCATAAAATAGCGTCCAGCTTGTGGTTATGCCTGTGTATGTTTGTGTGTGGGAGAGCCTGATAACAATAATTTGTTGGTATTTTCTTTATGTTTGGTTTTTATGTAGCGCCCCACAATAATTTTATTAAGCTGTTGGAGCCCACGACCCACTTTTTAGCGAGCTCGCTTTTAAGGTCTGAAATTGTGTGCACATGAGATATGAGACGAGCTCCACATAGTCATATTCATTTTCTGTTCCCGGTACTGAGGAGTATCTCTGAGAATCATGAATTTCTGTTGAATAAATTAACCGTTTGATTGCCCATTCGACTGTATGAAAGCTTTCCTGGAAGCTGCTTTGACAACAGCCTCGGCTGACCCACAAACAGAGTAAGGCAGCAGCTGGCCAACAGCTAATCAATCACTGGTTAAATTAAAAAGAAAACAACAGGAAGAGTGCCAAAAAAAGAGCAGCAAGTCAGCCGAAAGAAAAACAAATACTTTGACTTGTGGCACAAGCCGGTCAAATGCATATGTATTACAGGCGCCCGAAAAAATGTCGGTAATTATGCCCATAACTAGGCACTCAACAGCACGTGTCGAGTTGAGCAACAGTAATGACAGTAATTAACTTAAGATCTGTCATATATATATACACACACATATATATACATATATATTTGTATAAATATGCGTTTGGATTCAGGCTCAATCATGCACAAGAAAAACAAACACAAGTGACTCGAATACATCACGAAATGAATGGGCAGCAAACAAATCATTTGCTTGACCAGCTCATTAGAAACAACAATCAAATTTGAATCGCGCCCGAAAGCAGGCAACACAAAGTTTCCCATATCATCGCCTTGTTGTTTGTTATGTGTGGAATCTATGAATGGGGAGCTTCACAAAAGAATCTCGAGACATAATCTCGTACATTCTCAATTACAGTTATCTGCGGTTTCCAGACATTAAGCCAATGTGCTGTATATTTCGAGACTCTTCTTCTTATTTACTTTATTATATACTTCGCGTCATCAGATTAGCGCCCCCTTTACCTTCTTAATAATTGTTCAATATTATGAAAACCATTTGAACTATTGTCTCAAAATTTTTGTCCATTTGACTCTTATCAATTCTTCTTATAATAAATCAAAAATGGCTATTCTAACATTCAAGATAATATTATAATTAATTTTTAAGTAAAACTCCACAAAAAAAAACCTATGCTTTGAGTATGTTAGGTCGATTGTTGCGACTAGAGATATATATTCACAATTAAAAAGATGCACAAACCATTTCGACCATTGCTTGCACTGAGGCAAAAGCACGAATTTCATGACGATTGGAACTAGACGAAGAAATTCGCTTGCAAAAAACACGTTTGTAGTTCTTTTCCACACTAAAAGTTATTCAATACTTTTTTTTGTGAATTTTTCTATGAATTTCAATGCAATCCCAACGGTTTTGTGTTTGTCAAACGGCTTGCACTAACAAAAATAATCACAAATGTTTTGAATGGGTTCTCACAAGGAAAGGAAACAATAACGACAATAATAATACCCTGTAATTGGTATATATTGATGCTGAAAAAAGTGCGATAATCTCTTAAAAAATGCATATTTATAATTCATAATTCACATGGATGGAAAATGTAATTTAAAACCGAACTGTGCTACTTTACATCTTATATGAAACATATTTGAAAATTCAGATCAGGCCATTTCACATATACTTTGAATAGTTGGCTTTAAGTATTATTTATTATTTCAAGATGATCCTAACAGACTTGCAACTTTCCTAAATAATATGCAACTCTTAGTTGAGCATAGGTCCAGGTCGCACCTTTAACGAGAACAATGAGTATGAAATATGAAAGCCAGCTTTGAGAAAAACAGTTGACACCAAGGAAATGATATATATAGATACATATACAATGTGTGCATGGGTGTATGCGGATATATTGCTGATTGTTGAGTTGGCCCGTGGAGGCTGTGATTACATTTGATTTGCCGGCTTTGCAAGCCGGCAGTTGCTGTATGCAGCCATTCGACATAAAAGAGTTTTTAATATGAGACATCAAAGAGGAGCGCGCAGTCGTCAAAGATATCTAGATGCAGTGCGTCAGGTGCAAACAAAACACATCAAAGCAAACAATGGAAACTTTTGTTTGCATTGCCAAAAACAAAAAAAAATTGAAGTACAAAATAAAACGCTGCTTGCCATGAAAACTTACTTTGTGTGCTAACCAGGCGGCCAGGTCACGCCTTCTGCGCACGGCAACATTGTAAGAATGGCAGCAGGCGGC